GGAGAGGATGGGAGGGGAGGGGAGGGGGGGAGAGAGATCATTTGTTGCTCCATTTATTTATGCATTCACTGGTTGATTCTTGTATGTGTCCTGACCCAACCAGGGATTGAACCTGCATCCTTGGAGTTTCAGGACAACACTCTAACTTGAGCTACCCGGCGGCCACGGAATGACACATGCACTGTAGGGCAGGTCTCAGGTTTATCTGGGAAGTTGGGTGCGGTGGGGCAAAAGCCACCATTATAGATGCAAATCCTGATGTGTGAAGGGGAGAGGCGGAGGAAGAAAAGAGAAAGGCGGGTGGGCTTGCCTTCTTCTTGTCCCAAGGCCACTTCTGTTCCTACTTGGTTGTCCTCTGACTTAGATTCTCTGTGCTCCAGGGAGGAACACACTCTAGGAGGCGCCTGGGCCTGAGCCTTCCCTGCTTGCCAGTCTCCTCGCTATTTTCCAGCTCTCCCTCCCTTCCAGGTGTGGGAGGTCTGATCAGTCAGGGTGAGTCTTGAACAGCTCCACCCCCAGGGGTGCTCTTCCTCCCCTTCCTTCTCTCCTTCCTTCCTTCCTTCTCTCCTTCCTTCCTTCTCTCCTTCTCTCCTTCCTTCCTTCTCTCCTTCCTTCCTTCTCTCCTTCCTTCCTTCCTTCCTTCCTTCCTTCCTTCCTTCCTTCCTTCCTTCCTTCCTCCCTCCCTCCCTCCCTCCCTCCCTCCCTTCCTTCCTTCCTCTTTCTCTGTGTCTCTTTCCTTCTTTTTCTTCTATTAAAGTAGTCCCTCCCCCCTTATGCCCATATGCCTTGAGGATGTGCTTAAAGGCGTGGCTTCAGAACCCCACAGGCAGTCTCTGTAAGGTCCTGGGGAATGGGGGGTAGGGGCTTCTTTCCCAGAGGGCAGAAGTCACACTGGAGTGGCTTGTGGTAACATGCTGTGACTCAGCCAGGGTCACCATGATGAGTCATCCGCAGCAGGGAAGGTGCCCTTGCTCCCTTCTCCTTCCCAGCTCGGGCCCAGGGGTGTGTGAACTAGGTCTGGAAGAGGAATGTTACTCATGTAGGATCATAACCAGGGCTGACGGATTACTTATTTATTTTTCACACCATCAATATTTATTGTTCAGCTTCCCTCAATAGGCCAGTGCTAGGGCTGAAGGGCTGGGCCTAAATGAGAAGTAGGTCTGGGGACCCTGTGTGACCATCATAATGTGCCCTGGGGCCTGTCAGTCATCCCCCTAAGCTTTCCAGGTCCGCAAGTCCTATGGGATCCCAGGCTGTCAGATCTGGGAAAGCTGCCTTCGGGGAGGAAAAGGACATGTGGGGGAGGCCACGTGATGTCTCAGAACCTGCCAATTCCAACATCAGCCTGAGACAGGAGGGAAACTGAGGCAAGAGGGTGGAACTCAGAGGAAAAAGTGACGGGGGTCTGAAGGTGAGATAGGGAAGCCCTGACCAGAAGGGGGAGAGAGGGAGACTTCCAGATACTTCCTGGCTCTAGAAGAGTGAGCAGGGGAGGTGTGGGAGGTCTGGGCAGTCAGGGTGAGTCCTGAGCAGCTCCACCGCCATGGGTGTCTGCAGGGCACATGCTTGAAGGTGCTGCAGGGCCTGGACAGGTCCTGTACCCCCACCCATGATATGCCCAGGAGGGGAGGCAGAGAAGAGTTAGGCAGCCTCATCCCCACTGGGCCCTCACTGGGCTTTTTTGGTCACCTTCTGGTCCTTCAGCATCACATAGGTGATGAACTGTGGGGAGCCAATATAGGATTAAGCCTCGGACTGACCTGTTGGCAAAGTCACAAACAAGTCCCAGCTTAGAGGGCACAGTCCTCTTAAGCATAATTAGGCTTGACCTTATGAAACTCCCTAGATTTTATCTGGGAAGCTAATGGACAGAGGGAAGTGCAGCAAGAACAAGAACAAAAACAAGTGAAACTCACAAGAACAGTGTAAACAAGTGAAACTCACAAGAACAGTGTAACTATGGAAACCACTACCTTGTTTACCTCTGACTATAAAATAAAGGCTCAGCTTGCCTCAGGATCTTTCTCTGTGGCCTCAGCCAGGCACAGGAAGATCCACGGAGACTAAAGAGAGCTAGAGAGTTCTGAACGCTGTCTCCGTGTAAAACATTCTTTGCCGACTCCGTCCACACCTTTGGGAACCCCTGGACCGCTGGGGCTGGACCCCGGTAATGAACACCCCACGATCAGGAGCAACAGGAGGCCAGCAGCTAGTGGGATGGCAATGGCATAGGCTCAGGTCAGGAAATTCTCGTGGATGACATGCTGGCTGCTGATGAATGGTGAGGGAGTCACCCAGGCAGTGTAGTAGGTGAAGATGCTCAGGCTAACAGCAACAGGCCGAGTCCCACCACCTGGTCTGTCCCTGTGGCCATTTCCCTGTGCTCCCCACCAGGGCACCAAGCTCCTAACTGATTTAAAATAAATCAGGGAGCATGCCCATGCCATTCCCTTCTCCATTTTCTTTCCCCACAGGCACGTATCTCCTAAACTCCAAGGGACCTCACAAGACTTGCAACCAGGGGAGCAATGGGCAGCGGCAGCTTGTCCCAGGCTAACCCCTAACCCTGTCACTAAGGGCCCTTTTCCACTGACTTCCCAGTGAGCCAAAGCAGCCCAGCCTGGGCTCTCCTGTTGCTTCTTCTATGCCCTTCCTTGTTTTACTGTCCTAAGTATGTTTTTGCTGTGGTCAATAAATTCTAGCTTGCTTTTCTAAAATAAATACATAATAAATAGTCTATTTCTGCCATCTTCTCCCTGTCACCTCCACCATTCCTAGCTCAGATGTCTGAGAATATAGCAGTGACCATAGTTCTCTTTTCCTTCCAGTATTTGAATTTCACCTCCCCACTCAGCAGCTTTGTGTCTTTGGACAAGTGACGTAAGCTCTCTGAGCTTCATCTGCTAATGCGGATAGCTGTAAAATACCAATCCATAAAGTTGTTGAGAGGATTATTAAATAAGATGGTCCACATAAAGGCAGCATTATTCCTGGAAGACAGTATTCCCTGAGTAAACGTTAGCTGTCATTATGAAACATTTATGAGGAGCCTCCTACACAAGATGCTTGGCCTTTGAGGAGCTCTAGTACGGGACACAGACAGACCTGTAAATGAAAGGTTACAGTGCATTGGATAAGGATTGTAATGGGGAGAGAATATAAGCATAGTGCTGTCCACACACAGAGGGTGGTGTGGTGTGGTGGTCAGGAAAGGGAGGCATTTGAGTTTGAGATCCCAAAAGGAGTGGAAGGGCATTCCAGAAAGAAGAAACAAGGTTTGTGTAGAAGCAGTTCAGATGAGACTGTGGTCCAGTTTCATGCTGTGAACTGAACTGGGAGATTTAACACCTGGAGACGGTTAAAAGGTTTACACAGGGGGCCACAGTTTCGGAGTTGTACTTCAGGAACAGCACACTGACAGATGTGTGCAATGCAATTAGGGGTAGCAGGACCATCGAGCACCACTGAGTAGTCTGTTCTGGGAATACAGACATAGATGTGGAATACAGAGACAAAGATGATCAGGAAGGTAGGGAGAGGAGAGGTGACCTATGGCTACAATTAGGGCTTAGAAGGATCTGGGCAGATGACTTACTTGAGAGCCTCAATACAGTGAACTCCATACTTCTATCTGGCTTGGCACCCCGTTGTCTTGAATGCCCTTCCCCCCTTGCCATTCAACATTCATTCGGCACATGCCACCTCCGCTGGGAAGCCCTCTTGCATCCCTTTACAGACTGGGTTAGGGGGCCCTGCTCTATGTTCCGAGAGCCCCTGTCTGCTCCCTGTTCATTAGTAGTTGGCATTCCTTTGGACTGTTTCCTGGTTCCTCCCACTAGTCTGGGAATTCGGTGACCAAAGGGCTCACCTTTGCACCCGCAGGGCAAATGTGTCAATAACTCTGTTTGCTGAATGAATCAATGAAAACAAGAGCTGTAGGTGGCCCGGGGAGGGAGGAGCTGGCGGAACCGTCGGAAAAACACCGTCTCAGGTAGCTCAGGCCTTGAGGCCATGTCGTCTTTCCTATTCCAATTTTGTCTCGGAGTTGCTGCCTTGCAGTCCTGGGCCATCCAGGAACCTGAAGCCTGGGGGAGCGAAGAACCGAGCGGTCCACGGCGCAGACGGAAACCTCTGCCCACCGCTGGCTGAGGCCCCGCCCATGGCCCTAAGCCCCGCCTCCCCATCGCCTGCAGTCCCGGTTCCCGCCAGGCGCACCGAGGCGGCCATGGCGGGCAACTTCGACTCGGAGGAGAGGAGTAGCTGGTACTGGGGGCGGTTGAGCCGGCAGGATGCGGTGTCGATGTTGCAGGGCCAGCGGCACGGGGTGTTCCTGGTGCGGGACTCGAGCACCTGCCCTGGGGACTATGTGCTCAGCGTCTCCGAGAACTCGCGCGTCTCCCACTACATCATCAACAGCAGCGGCCCGTGCC